AAATGCAGTAGCTGGAATTAGCACGCCTGTTTCTTAGAAAGAACGCCATGAAATGCATTCAAAGAAATCCTCGTTGTAGTTCATGGTGAGTCATTCGAAGCCATTTGTATAAAAATTATTTTTTGTGCTTTATTTAAGGCATCTATATTCACATTATAAGTTACTTCTCGTTCTTGTTTATTTATTTTTAAAATATTCAAGACTGCATTTAAGGTATTCACTATCAGTACCTGTACTGGTCTCAGCCAACAGAAATTCTGTAAAACTGCCCCTTTGGTTGACCAAGTACCAAAATATGAAATAATATCGCTTTACTTAATTAAGCATCACACTATGAAGAATGCTATGGGGAACTGGAGGTATAGTTCCATGCATTCTTAACCTCGACATTAGATGAAGGCAAGTTGTTAGCTGGAAAGTTACGAATCTGAAGCTCTTATCTTTTAAACACAATCAGGACGGAAAACAGTTGTCTCTGTATTAACGCACGTTACTGAATTATCGCCAATCAGAATGTCATAACGAATAATTTGGGCAGTGTTATGCAGCTAGGAGTAATTCATAAATCAACACAGCGATCATAGCCCTCAAATGTAACTAATTTTCGAGATTAAATTGCGCTGTAAAGAGTAGCTCCATGTCAGACTTCTATAACAAGTAATCAAGTATCAAATTACAAAATCGTTCAGGCTAGGCATACAGTGTGTTTTTACTGTCATCAAGATAATGTCTTACTTAAAGAATAACAGGCAAGTAAAGTGTATCTACCCTATACTGATTCACAATAAGCTAATAAATGTGCACGTAAGCACGCTTATCACACCTTACCAGTAGCGTAGATCTACTTGCAGATAGCCAATTCTCTCGGGTCCCTTGTTCTTATTTTCAGCATATATTTCAAACTTATTGATCTTAAAAAAACCGTGATTTATTTGCCTATGACTGGTTTATTAATTTATCGAAATATTTCCTTTAGCCGCCCTAACATCTGACTGCCTGGCCAAGATGATGTAGAATCCAAATACTTGTTACATAAAGAGATAAATCTCTAAATTGTCCAAGATGATAAGACGATTGTAAACACAACAATGTTTTGTACAAGGGTCATGAAGTTTTCCATGGGTTCCCTATAGACAAAATGTTCTGGCTTTCATACAAGTTAGTGAAGGGCAAGACATACGACAAATCCGAATAAATCCGTCTGATTTATAATCGCGAGGCCTTCTGCACAGTAAGCCAGCGGCTTACACGAAAAAGATCCTTATGATATAATGAAAGGCTGTGTTACGTTTTCATGATTTAATAATAAGTTATTATGTTTCTTATGTTATGTATGGAATGCAATCTTTTTAATGTTGTGCTGAGGTTAGGAAACAATGCTGAGAATGATAGCATTACTGCGCGTTCTACTGCTAACAACAAGAAATTCGGTTTTTGTTTTCCGATTTTCCTCTCAGACCGTGAAATTATTTCAGTCATCAACTGAGACACGCAAAGTCACCGAAATTCAAGATCAGTGAAATGTAACACAGGTCTTTTCATAATTTAGTTAAACTGAAGACGTACAGCGGATTAACTGGAACTTAAAATTAAAAACACAAAAACTCCAGGGTGCAGAATGCTGTTGCAGCTGAAGAATCGAAAGAGATTGGAAGATGATCAGAGAGATTGAATAGATAACAATTTGGAAGAAACCACTCGTGGTCTGTTTAAATATACTATAGATTACTATCCCCGCTTTTATCTGGATAGACTGAAGAAAACCACAAAACCCTTATCAGTACAGTTTGTAATTTAACCGAGATTCGCGGCATATACTTTCAGAACACAAGTCTAGATATTTACCACTACACTAACCTGCTCCGTATTATGGATCTAATATTAAGCACTAGTACAGCGAATAAATATAGCGGCAGAATTCTTGTATTTATAAATTACTTGTGCATCTTACGAGCAGCATATTAAGTATAAGATTTCAACAGCCTCAATGGTTTGCTTTTGCCGCTAAACCCGAAACTTAACTGGTAGCTTGAACGTGAGTTAAAACTGGATGCTACAAAGATGACTGTGTAGTATGATCACGACTCACGTCTCGTTAGTTCCTGCTCCTGCATATGGAACACCACCGAGTGAGCTCGTGAATCTGAATAAACTAACAGATAAATCGGGGCACTGCACACATTTCATTGGAAGGCCGGTTGCAGCATCGGAGATACTTTTTATTTTAAATAAAAATCTATAATAATGACGTAACAGAAGTCTTAACAGAAAACGAGCGAGGTTGTCTACACGCAACCAGGATTCATCTCCCTTTCTCTCTGTCTAAATTCACTCTCTTCAATATCATGTGTCCCACAGATAGTCTTACTAGGGTGAAGGTAGATTCACACTGGGACGAGTGTGCTGGAACTTTAATCACACCAACCCCCTTAGAATCTGAACATTCCGTATTGCTGTATTCGGAAGCTCGTTACTAACATAACCTAACCCAACCCAAGTTTACAAAATTTACTCCTTTAAAATCTTAAGACTCTCTATGGTCGACTGCCCATAAGCGCTGTCTTCAATTTAACCCCATCCTAATACAATCCGAAAAAATAAATTTTATATCTGGTAAATACCGCCACGGTGGTCTAGCGGTTAGAACGCTGCCCTTGTAATCCTGGGATCTCGGGTTCGATTCCCGGCGGTGCCCGAATTTATAACTTGTGTTGGGCAAGGCCGTGGACTAGGCAACACGGAGTTTTTCTCCGGGGGCTTCCCCGGTTTCTCCGTGGCATCCCAACAATTACTCCATTCACACACAGAAGAAGGCAATGGCAAACCACTTCTGGATCATCTGCCAAGAACGTACATGAACAGGTCCCAATCCGAAAAAAGGATGGAAGGATCCTGTTCATATGGACCTGTCGTCAGACAGAACACTAATAATAATAATAATCTGGTAAATAATTAAAAGTAACAGGATATACAAAGCAATATGTACAGATAGTAGTGGACTCTTGTGGACATGGTAATGAACTTCCCGGTTCCACAAAAGGCAAGTAACATCCTGATTAACGGAGTGACTATTATTTTCCGAAGGTCTCTCCTCCATGCAGTTAGATATTTATGTGTACATACTAAGACCCACAAGTATAAAAGAATTAAGTTCCTGTTTTACACGAATGCTAACAATTTCTCTCACATTCGAAGACCAGCCTATTAAGTAAATTTGAGTAGAGTTGTTCCGAAACAAAGAGTCCTTTCAGCGGTAAGGCTTGCAGAACACGAGTACAAAGGCAGAATTCCAAACAGTTAAAACTCGTCGTACCAATGTAGTCAAAACCTCACTCATCTCTTTCTTTCGTCGATATCAACAGAAGGTCTTCCGCACTGTTACTGGAGTACCATGTGAACCTCATGCCGCAATGGGATCGTGTGGGATGCTCGTGTTGTCAAGTCTATCCCCATAAAGCACGACCAAATGATGTCTATTGCTAGTCGGGAATAGAAAAAAGTTTGCAAGGCCTGTCTGTGTAAATGTGGAAAGGCGCTGCCGAACGAATCATATAAAAGGAATGACTTCTACCTCGGTTAGCATTCTCAAAAGTGAATCCGAGGGGTTACATCGTTTTTGGATCCCTACGAAAGATTCCCAACATCTGAATTTCATATTGTTGAAGGAGAAACAAACTACTACGATGTGTAAGGTAAGTGAACATATTTAAGAAAAGTGAAGTTCTCTAGATCTTGAAGATGTTGAAAGTGATCTGGGTTCTAGGTGGTTAAACATTTTCTGACACACATTTATTTCGGACTTTCAAATCTATTAAATTTCATGATATATGTGGATATTTTTAAACCACACTAGACACACGTATCCTTTTACGTTTCTTTTTAATATTGTTTCGTCAGAATTTTTTAGAATTGGTTCAAATTTTATTTTCAAAGTTATCTGTACATTAATTACAATATTGCGGTTAAAATTATTGAAACACAAATATTATTTAATTACTGTAGGAAACATAACACTGTGTTTAAATACTTACAGACATTCTACTTGCACTATGTTTCCAGAACCGTAACATTTTGACGTAACTCTTAATGTCATTATCATTACATCACAGTCCTGGGTCTTGGGTCATGGGTCAAATAAACATTGACGATTATAAAAATTGAAAAACTAGAAACACCTGTTTTAACTACGAGGAGACTCCTAAAAACGAATGGATTTTATTCAGTTTAACAATGTGCAGAAAAGGTAATATCAAAAATTTCACATAAAATGGCACAATGGTAATATAAACAAAATATCAGATTCCTAAATAATTTTCTCGGATCATCATAAAATGTTTAATAAATTCAATCGATAAATGTGACTTTAAACAAGTACACGAGGCTACTTTAAAAATCTCGCGTGACGAAAAAAATTATGTTTTTTCCCATTAATTAACTTCTGTTGCTAAGGGCAATATTTGTTCTGCTCTCATTTATATTTCATGTTATAGTCACTAAAATTTGTGCCCTGATAACGGCAGAGTAATTTAATAATACACTATCCTTTTAAGGCACCGTTGTCCTTATATATTTCACATTATTTAATATTCACTAAATAGCCTTTTACTTCAGACTATATTTATGAGTTTTATTCAACTCTAAGAAAAAGCACGGATTATTTCCTAAAAACAGCATTAATCAATTCGTCTTTGTAATGCAGATAACTAAATTTTCAAATATTATTCAGATAAACTTCGGACTCAAAGGGTTAAAATGTTATTGAATAATATAACGCATTTACATAACCGAAAGAAATTACGTAATTAACTCGGTCCTATGCCTCTCAAATGATAAAGAGACATACTTAGAATTTTGAATTTCTGTGCTTTAGAATTTAACAATTATCGGCATTTTCCTGGTTTCGTTTAGCGCTGAAATCTACACTGTTGTCGCTTTTCTCGCTTCAGATTTTACTCGTCCTGGCTGTGGCGGCAACAGCCGTGG